ACACACGAGAAATTCTCGTGTAATATTAAAATATTCTCATAAATATCTGTATGTTCAATTTTGTAATTTTATTTTAACATATATTGTGGTTCTTTTCACTTACTGCTTATAATTATAAGCAATATCTGCAAAATATTTTCTTCTTTTTCTGTACACGGGATCCGTAAAACCAGGATGATCGCTATCAAGTTCAGCACCGTAAGACAAAATTTGATTGGCAAACTTGTCGAGATCGCGTATTCTCCTCGGAAACCACGGTACAGTATCCATATTGTCTTTGTGATTTCTGGAAAAAATTACAATTCACCTTGGTTTTATTATTCCGCATAAATGTGGAATAAATTAAATATGCAAACAAGACGCATAACGAAAATTGTTAAATTAAAAAATTTCAAATTTTGAATTGATTATAAAAAACAAAATAATATATATATATATATATACAGAACATTTTAAAACTTCATTTTGTATAGTCTCCGTGCATTGTAACGATATTATAATAACTGATGAAGAAAAATAAAAATTAATACTCTTTTACAAAACAGCTATCTCATATAAAATTTATAAATATAAAATGAGTAAAAAAGTTAAGAATGCTAAAACATTTATCTTTTTTCAAGAAATAATTATTGGTAAAATAGTTTTGACTCTAATAAAGTCTTTCTCAGTCATAACAAAGGTTATTAATTGACATTAATAAATAAATTTATTGCAGATTAATAAATAAATAAATAAAATAAATAACAATCTGCTGACATAGAAAAAATTACGATGACTATCGAAGATAAAAAATGTAAAGTTTAAAACTTAAGGCTGTATGCTCGAGGCTGTCAAAATAATTACATCAATAAAATACTAAATGATGACGTCAAGATGATAAGATAATCAATAAATATAATGAAATTAATAAATAATAATGAAATTATTAAAATATACTTAAATAACATTATTGTGTACGACAAGTTAACCACAAATTTAAAATATATGTTATAATTAATTTAAATATATGTTATAATTAATTTTCGAAAAACTGAAGAAACTTTTACCTTGAAATTATCGAAAAGTAGCTGCATTGATCACGTAAAGATTCAATGGCAGAAGCTATGTTACCACCCGGCGCACAGTCTACCATAAATTCATAGCCATTTGGTCGTCGAAGAGAACTTCTAGACTCGATGTATAAGAGATTCACTTTGTGTTTCTAAGATAGCAATATATTCTAAATTTATATAGTATTCCATATGCATATTATATATGTTACATTTTGATTAATGAAATTTTAACAGAGCAAAATCGTAACAGACAGCTCGTATAGATTAACAAGAGGAAAGAGAGGCCAATGAACGAGTGAAAACGAAGTGAAAAACAAATTCGAATAAATAATATTTATTGTAAAAACATTTATTGTAATAACAATTAGCAGAGTCACCTTCAATATAAATTTGATATTGTACGTTTCGGCTTCACGGAGTCTTCCTCGGCAATTTTTCTTAACCAAAGCGATAAAAAACGGAAAGGAAATTGCAAATGCATAAAAACTAGCTCGGTGAAATTATAGAACGCGCCACATTTAAATTCAAGTGTAAGCAGATACAAGATTATAAAAATATGAATAATAATTACGTAAGAGTAAGTAAGCAATGAAATTTTACTTACGGCAAAGAGTTGGAGATATCTTCCCAAGGATCCAATTTCATCTTCTTCTTTGGGAGAAAAAATTAAGCAGATACTCTTAGCTGAATCTCTACCCTCTTTGATATAATTTCCGCCATGGATTAGTTTCGGCTAATACGTACATAAATAATATATTCCAAAATAATTATAATGCATTTGATAATAAACAATATTGAATAAGAATTTTTCTCATAAGAATATTTTAATATTTTAATTCATATAGAATTCTATATTTTATAATATTTTAAGATATTTTAAAATATTGTGATATAATAAAAATGTATGATTATCATTTTTTAAAGATGATATATTCTTGATATTATTATATTAACATTAT